GCCGACCCCCAAAAAAGAAGATAGGAGATCCATATTTACCCTGCAGGAAACAATAAAAACTAGCTAGATGTGGTGGTGGGCACCTGTAATCCCAGCTCCTCAGCAGGCTGAGGCAGAAGAATCACTCGAACCCAGGAGGCAGAGGTTGCAGTGAGCCAAGATCGCACCACTGCACTCCAGCCTGGGGGCCGGAGTGAGATTCCATCTTCAAAAAAAAAAAAGGAAAATGTGATTTATCAGGCATAGGCAGACGCTGAGGGAAACCCAATGACATAAAAAATGTCCTAATCGGAAGTAAACTAAGGTAAATTTGGGTTTCATGATTGTAATAATACTTGAGATCTCTGTGGTCTTCCTTACAAACCTCGGGGGAAAAACAACACATGCTATTTATTTATTTATTTATTTATTGAGATGAAGTCTCACTCTGTCGCCAGTCTGGAGTGCAGTGGCACAATCTCAGCTCACTGCAACCTCCACCTCCCTGGTTCAAGCGATTCTCCTGCCTCAGCCTCCCAAGTAGCTGGGATTACAGGCATGCACCACCATGCCCAGCTAATTTGTGTATTTTTAGTGGAGACAGGGTTTCACCATGTTCGCCAGGATGGTCTCGAACTCCTGACCTCGTGATCTGCCCACCTCAGCCTCCCAAAGTGCTGGGATTACAGGCATGAGCCACCATTGCACCAGGTAACACATGCAATTTAAAATGTCACAGCAATAACCATCATGTCTCATATTTTTACTACTTAGAAACCACTTTCATAGTCACTAACTCATCTGGTAATCTATAGAGAAGGCCATTCTCCCTCCCATCCTAAGCTGTCACTTGCTACTCTAGGAAGGAATACTTGAAATTTCTCTGTTTCTATTGTCTATAACATTCTTGGCAGCTAAATGCCCACTGCATCCCCATACTTTGTAGGCAAGGATTACCACAGGGTTCTGCTGGGAGGGCTGGGCCAGATGCCAAAGGCCCAGCCAGACACAGGATATCAAAGGATGATTGTTTAGATGCTGGGGTTCCTGCCTTTTAGGGACACCTAAGTACAGAGTTCTGCCTCTGCCAGATCATTCACCCCCATACAATGCACAGCAGTCTCCCTCAGCCTGTCTCAGTGTCATTTTTAGCCAACGAAGGAGGTAATAATGCAGAATTCACAGGTCATCATTTCATTACTTTGGTCTGGATATCAAAGAACCTGCAGGATAATGATGATGGAAAAGTTATTTATCATCTCTGAATCTCGATCTGTCCATTCTTAAGATAGGAAGGGTAAAAGTCACCCCTACCTAGTCTCCAGATATTTGGAGATGATAAATGAAGAACTACAGTGGAAAAGCTTAATTTTTAAGGTGAATTACTTTGAACTCCTTGGAAAAATCACGTAAATCTAACAGATTCTAACTGGCTCAGAGTTATAAATCTTCAGTCACTTAAAAGTTTTGCTAGAAACCACATAAAATACCTGAAATTAAAGATACAGAAAAGGGAATAAAGCTTAGGATTTGATATTGAGAAAGGGAAGGAAACTTAGCAAAGAAAGTGGCAACCAACAGCAGAGATTGAAATAGAAGAGGAAGACAGGAAAATGTGAAATTGAAGAGTTAAAATTTTGTTACTGGTAATGAAAGGGGAAATATAGGCATAACTTGAAGATGCGGTGGATTGGGTTCCAGACAACTGTAACAAAGTGAATATTGTAATAAAGTGAGTCACACATATTTTTTGGTTTCCCAGTGAATATCAAAGTCATGTTTATACTATACTATAGTGTTTTAATTGTGCAATAGCATTGTGTCTAAAAAAATGCCTTAATTTAAGATACTTTATTGCTAAAAGAAAATACTAATGATCATTTGACCTTCAGCATGTCATAATCCTTTTGCTGGTGGAAGGTCTTGACTTGATGTTGATGGTTCCTGACTGATCAGGGTGGTGGTTGCTGAAGGCTAGGGTGGCTGGGGCAATTTCTTAAAATAAGACAACAATGAAGTTTGCCACATCAATTGATTCTTCCTTTCCAAAAGCTTTCTTTTCTTTTT